GTTATACAACTAGTCACAACAATGAAAGATAAACCGTTGTCTACAAATGTTTCCTAACAGAAAAAATTATAATAATTATATATATCTATATTATTATTAAAACTCGAATACAATATTGATTGACAGAAATATCCTTAATATTCTTTGAGAAAAACTCATAAGGAAAGGACATAACTGGAAATATTACATGCTAGTATGAAAAGATATAGTAGAATAAGTAAAATCTTATATGGCTTCTACTTTAAGATTTCACCGTAACTGACTCAAATATGGTTTGAAAAAAAATATAACTCAATTGTAGCTTAGTTAGGGATGTCGAAGTTTCATAATATCTACCCCTATGTTTCAATTTAGATGAGATAGTTTGACTCGACAAGGAGTTTAAGAAAAGAAGATGAGACTTTTGAAATTTGTGGTCTTAAAAGCTTAAGGGGTAAAAATTTTGTGGGGCCATGACATTTGTGTGGTTATAAAAACTTCTCAGGGTAAAGTGTGTAAAATGAATAGTCTAAAGTTGAATTATTTTCAAATTTAGAAATGTGTCATTTATTTTGAAACATATATACTAAATAGAAAAGTACCTCATCTAATTTGAAACAGAGGGGTATCAATTAATACCCATTCTCCACAAGGATTTACGCGTCCCATACGAAGTATTAATTTTTAAAAACTTTATTATTTTATTCTTTTTAATCGCACGTATAAGAGGATCCTCAAAGTAGAACCATAACCATAATTAGGCAGAAGATAATTTTTTTTAATTGTAAAAGAAAGAATTCCTAGGAAAATAGTAATTGTAAGTAAGAAGGCAGAAAATCTTGAATTAAAAGATTGAAACAGAGCTGCAAGTGAAGGCCAATGGAAATGAGATTATAAACGAGATGATAGTGAATTAGAGCATGAGTTTATGAATTTGTTCAAGATTATGAATACGTGTTAAACGGACACATTAAGAATGAAAGAGCATGATTCAAGGACTAGGACCGAAGCTTCGTATCATTAAGTACTTGGTTTATATTCACTTCGGGACGTTTCTCTTCCTTTTATTCTTTCACTAAATTGCTTCTTAATGATGATTTTTAGGTAATATTAGTGAGCAAAATCTCATTTATATGTATGTTTAGCTATTTCGTTCAAGGCCAGAGGCCTCTTTTTCTCCTCTTTAGGTTCAAACTATATCAATTGTCTTTACATATGCTTTGTTATTTGATTCTCTGTGATTAGTTTCCGTTTTTATTCAATCTAATTACTCAATAGATAGGGGTGAAAAAGGAAAATGGATGAAGGGAAGAAAATTGGTCTCTCATAATAAAACAAACTCGCATGACTGCATGAGGTATGAAACAATTTGTTATAAACTAATTTGGAGTAATTGTTATTTATAGGTATTGAAACGCATTATTCAATTGCATAAGGTCTTCTTTGACGTCTGAAATAATTAGGACTACAAATTTCATTAGCACACTCTTCAGAATACGTGCTGATCAAATAGTAACAATATCCAAATTATCTATTTAAAGAAATAGTCAAATTCTTAATTAAAGGTCGTAATATAGAGTCATTATCACTTATTTATAATTCATTAGAAATTAGGTACGTTGCTATCTGTAGTGGTGGTAAATTACTAAAATTCTAAAGTGGTGAAATGTTTGGTTGACTCTAAAGCCCTATTATAAGAAGATTCTAACTATGAGTACAATTTTATCCAATTCTAAGTGGTGGAATTTTGGTTGTTTGTACCTCTGTTTTGAAAGGTTTCCGGGGTGAGGCATACCAAAAACGTTCCGGGGCGATGGTGTGGGGCGAAAGTCTCAAGAGGCGTACGCCCCGCAATTTGGGGCGTACGCCCCGCAATTTGGGGCGTACGCCCGGGTGTTCGGGGCACGTTTTTTTTAGTAAGGAGTAAGTCCCAAAGACTTTTCAAATTAAAACAAAATTTGTTGAATTAGTCCTTCATATAATACCCAAATTCTCAAAAGCCAGTTTGGTAATTACTCAAAAGGTTTAAAAAGGAACTCAAAAGTATTAAATTTAAAAGTAAAGACATTTTTTATTGATTTAAGCCATAATTCATGGTTTTTCCAAATTTGTATCTTGTCCGCTAATATCTTCCAAAAAGCAACAAATGTTTAATTTTTTTTACAAATACAAAGAGAACTACATTTTTCTTCGTAGCATCAAATTCAAAGTTCAAATTGCAGGTTAATCATCCTTTTTGTTCCTCCATATAGAAAACTTTATTATTTTAGACTCAAATTACTTGTGCTTGTAAGTACCGTATATATAATAGATTGTTTTAATTAGTTTTTTGTGGGGATGGAGCACACATATATATAGTTTTCTTCAATTTTTATGCAATTTTACCTGTTTATAAATATTAACTGTCATTATATTATTTTATAAAATATTAAAAATTAAATACCTATGGGACTTACACCCCGATAAGGCATATGTAAAATGCCTCACTTTACAGCCACGCCTTTTCAAACAATGGACTTTGTACAAAGTAACGTAGACGATTATTATTTTAACTGCTAATGTTGTTTCGCTTGAATATTGGTTGAAGAATTGCCGTCGACTATTATGTTTGGAAGCTTCTTTACGATTTCATAAGTTAGAATGTATAAGTAGGGCAAAGTATTATTTCACTACTAGAAATTCGGTAAAATCGATTGCGGTCAACCGACCGATTTTGGTCGGTCAAAAAATCGGCCAAAAAATCGATTGAAGTCGATCGCTTTTTTAAAATATTTTATTTTTTAATTTTTGTTTTTACGAAATCGACCAACTTTGGTCGGTTTTCTTTGGCGCAAAAATGTGGGAAACTATTTTTGAGTCCCACAAAATTTATTTTACAAGAAACCGATCAACTTTGGTTGGTTTTTCATTTAAAATAAATTAAAATTAATATTAAAAGAATCGACCAAAATCGGTCGGTTAATTCGGCCGATCATTTTAAAAAATCGACCGAATTCGGTCGGTAATTTTATTTTTAATAAAACTGACCGACATCGGTCGGTTATTTTTGTGCGAAAATATAATTAAAGAGAATAAATGAATAAAAAATAATCTTAAAACAAAATACACCAATGGTCTAGTGGTAGAATAGTATCCTGCCACAGTATAAACCCCGGTTCGATTCCCAGATGGTGCATTTTTTAATTACATAATTAAAATACCGACCGACTTTGGTCGAAAATAACCGACCAACTTTGGGCGGTTTTTCGGCAATCTTTTTTGAATTTAATTGACCGACCAAAATCGGTCGAAAAATACCGACCAAAGTCGTTCGGTTAGTGGAAAGTGAAAACTAAGAAAGTAAAGTATCTGAAGCTAGTGGAAAGTGTAGACGAGGAGGGGAAGAGGGAGATATGGAGCATTATAAGTTGGCTAGGAAAGAGGCAAAGCTAGCAGTCACGACGGCCAAGACTGCAGCTTTTAGTCGTTTGTTTGAGGAACTCGAGGGCCGAGGTGGGAATAAGAGGTTGTACAGGTTAGCCAAGGCGCGAGAAAGGAAGGCACATGACGTGGATCAAGTGAAGGGCATCAAGGACGAAGAAGGTAGAGTTATGTTAGACGAGGGGCTTATCCGTCAGAGAGGGCAGACGTACTTCAATAGCCTCTTGAACGAGGAGAGGGACATGAGCATTGTACTGGGTGATGTGGAACTCTCAAGAAGTCGTTGTGACTTTGGGTATTGTAGGCGGATTAGAGTTGATGAAGTTGAGGGGGCTAAGCGTAAGATGAGCAGGAGCAAAGCGACCGGGACAGATGAAATTCCAGTGGAGTTTTGGAAGTGCGCGGGCAAGGCAGACTTGGAGTGGCTCACTAGGTTATTTAATGTCATTTTTAGAACGAAGAAGATGCCCGAAGAGTGAAGGTGGAGCACGATGGTTCCTGTATACAAGAACAAGGGTGATATCCAAAATTGCAATAACTATCGGGGTATCAAGCTGCTTAGCCATACTATGAAAGTGTGGGAGAGAGTGATAGAGCTAAGGGTGAGGAGTGTGTCTATTTACGAGAACCAGTTCGGGTTTATGTCGGGGCATTCGACTACAGAAGCCATCCACCTTGTTAAGAGATTGATGGAGCAGTATAGGGAGATAAAGAAGGACTTGCATATGGTGTTCATCGATTTAGAAAATAGGTATGATAAAGTTCCGAGAGAGGTTTTGTGGAGATGTTTGGAGGCTAGAGGTGTACCGGTTTCATCTGTTAGGTTAATTAAGGACATGCATGATGGTGTAAAGACCCGAGTGAGGACGGTGGGTAGGGACTCGGACCATTTTCCGATTATAATAGGGTTGCATCAGGGGTCAGCACTCATCCCTTTTTTGTTTGCTCTGGTGATGGACGTACTGACGCCCCACATCCATGGGGGAGGGGGGGGGAGTGCCGTGGTGCATTCTATTTGCAGATGATATTGTATTGATTGACGAGACGCGCGACGTGGTGAACGCTCAATTAGAGGTATAGAGGCAGACCCTGGAGTCTAAAGGTTTCAAGTTGAGCAGGACCTCCATGAACGCTCTCCTCTCCTCCTCACTTGTGCTCCCTACTAATTTTAGATATGCTGCCTTCTTCGCTTCCACTTTACCTTGGACCACTTCATTCCACCACCAGTCTCCTTTGTGCCTGCCAGATACGCCCGTCGAGATCCCTAACACCTCTCTCACAACCTCCCTTATACAGTCTACTATCATCGACCACATAATGCTCGCGTCACCACTGTTCCTCCAGGCTCCCATAACCGACAACCGCCCCTCCAACTTCTAGGATTTAGCCTTAGTCAAGGCATCCCACCTGATTCTCGGTCGTCCTCGGTCGGACCTTTTCCTTCTCTTTAACATAATACCAACATCCATCACCAAGAGCCTATGCCGTGTCGTGAGTATCTCACCCGCAATAACCTTACAATCCTTGCACAACCCTCTGTCACACCTCCTGAGGAGGAGATAGTCAATTTGTGTCGTCGCCACGGTGTTTTGGAAAGTAACCAAATGTTCCCCTCTCTTTGGAAAGCTAGAGTTCGCAATCACCAACCCAAACGCCTTAGCAAAGTCTAACAGGGAAGTACCTCCTCCGTTCCTCTCCCCAAAACCTAAGCCTCCATGCACCTCACCATAGCCGCATGCGGTCGACCCAATATGACCATTGAAACCCCCTCTTATAAATAGTCTCTCAATAGGCGGGACTTGAAGCACAATCTTATCTAACCCCTCCCAGAATCGCCGTTTAACCTCCTCATCCCGGCCCGCATGCAGGGCGTAGATGCTAACGATGTTTAGGGTGCACTCTCCAACCACCAACTTAATAGTCATCAATCTGTCATTCACCCGTCTAACCTCAACCACCGACTCTCTAAGTTCCTCATCCACCAAGATACCCACTCCATTCTTACCTTTCCGGACTCCGGAGTACCAAAGCTTATACCCGTCAGCATACCTCGCCCTAGACCCTACCCACCTAGTCTCCTGTACACACGCTATATTGACTCCCATCTTCTGGAGGATCTTTGGCAACTCTATAGACTTACCCGTCAATGTACCTACTTTCTATGACCCAATTCTCAACCTATAGGCACCCTTGTTCCCCTTACCTCCCTTGCCTGCCTCCCACCTCTAACCCCTTCCCCACTTCCCGCCCCACCCCCCGCTCCACTCGAGGATATGACCTCACTCGACCATCCCAGACCACAATCACTATAACTATGACAGACTAAAGGAAATCACTAACACCCACTAGGCACAGACCAGAGTAGAGGAAGATATATTGTAACTACATGCACGCTAATATGGTGATTAAACTAATACGAACTAAGATGGCATCAATTTAACTAACACAATGAAGGGAAACAGGAAAATGGTAGGTACCAACTCCCGCAATTAGAACCTCGGAATTGTCTTGGTATACACGGCGGTATTGAGGCCACCTTGCATGTTCACGTCCAACTCCCGCGTCGCCCCTTGCTGACAGTCGCCCGGGTTATTCTTCACTGTTTGCACACGCACGTCCCGCTCGCCGCCAAAAGCCACCGACCCTAACCTGAAATATACACAAAACACCACGAAGACAAACAATGGGGGGTGGGGCTGTCACCACTACCACTGGTGAAGTCCTAATCGTAGCAAAAAAAAAATGCAAAGAAAAGGGAACGAAGTGGAAAGGAACAGAGAAAGAGNGCTGCCCGGCAAAACGACAATTGCCGTTGTTGCTCTAGTAAGTATGGGAGTGGGGAGGAGGGAAAGAAGAAAGAGGAGAGAGAGAGAGGAAAGGGAGGCGTGAGAGATGAGGGGGGCTTACCTACTAGTGGGGGTGGTCGCCGGCTGCCTGTGAATGCTTGGTATGATTTTTGACCGTTGGGGATGGGGATGGAGTGTTTGGCAGAGAGTTATGAGTAGTGGAGATGGTAATAGTAATCTCGGGAATGATTTTAACGTTAGAAGAAAATAAAGAATATCCTATCGAAAATAATCTCAAAGCAGTAATCAATTTTATGCCCTTGAATAATTAAATTACTTCAAAAAGATAATTACATTAGATAAAATTGTAATATCTAAGATTTTGCCTAAAATCTCAGAATTTCAGGTTTAGTTGGGCATGGAGAAAACAAGCTTTAAGTTGACTTTAATATTCTTCAAAGCTGAATTATTATTGAAATAGATGATTTTAAATTTGATAAAATTTATTTATTTATTATTTTAAGACCATGGATATGCATCTTAAACCACTCAAGTTGATACCCGCAAGGCCACAAGGATTTATATAGTTATTAGTTAGTATTGCCATATGAGTTCATCCTAAATATTATTCGTCCAAGTATTTTTAGAAATTTTTTATTTCGAGATAAGGAGAGTTTCGCTCAATGTTTTATAGCAAAGTGATTTTGTAGTCAACGAGTTTGCAAATAAAATAAAGAAGCTTTTCAACAAAGTTATTTGTAATATAAAACTTATCGCAATACACCGAAAGTAAAAAAATCAATTCGTGCCAATCTGAGGGGAAAAAGGAAGAAATAAAAAATTATGTATCAACTAAAATATATAAACACAAAAAATAGTTTGACTGTTGAATAACTTGCCGACTGCTTAATCTTTTGCATTCAAAAGATCCAAATGTTAGCCCCCTTCTAAGTTCTATGTAATAAAAATAATTCTTAACGGGTAGTTCAAGTTCATTCATCATTGTATAAATAAGTCTTAGGTAAAATACGATCACGCCGCATATGTATAAAGTATAAACCATAAGCACATATATTATATATCTAACTAACTTAATTAGTTTGATCATTGTTTTAGGTTCAAATTTCGACCAATCAGTTAATTCAAGTAGTATAGTAATGTAATAACAATATTTTTCGTATTTAGATGATTATTGCAATTTTCACATGAATATATTTACGACAATTCTTTATTCATGTCTATATAATTTTCTTACTAATTTAATTTATTATTTTTTCGTATAGCAATTAACCGAACATCTACTGCTATTATTAATGTGCGTAGAAACTAGTAATAATAAAAGAGACAGATATTTAAGACTTCAATTCCTTGGTACGCAGTTATTAAATGTCATATTTCCATTGAGTACTTAAATCTTATAACGAAGTCAATTTAAACCTGTCCAATTTCTGGATTTATCAAGCAAGAATGAGATTTCACCTAGGAATTTCCTTTTCTAAGATTCAAGAATATTACTATCCCTAATTGGAAAAGGTGAAATTTGTAATCTATACACTGCTGCTGGACATTAGCCTCAAGGGAAATGGCTGCTTTTAAGACAGGATCTTTCTGGTAGCACTAGCACTGATAAATTCCAATAGAACTGTGAGAAGGCAAAGCAAGAAGAGAAATTGACATCTATGATTAGACAAGCACCTTAAAAATATGTGATTTAACAACTTATTCATTACGCATATAGGTTTTGTGCAACATTATAGAAATGACTTCTCTGTTTCAATACATATAAGTTGAGTTAAAGGGGATTAATTTTGTCTCGCACATAAGCCTTTTCTTAAATTCATAACCAGCAGATGTACTAACAATAAAGAAAAACTCCAAAAATTCCTCAGAAGGATGGTACATAAGCTTCAAGATAATACAACGCTAAAAGGCAAAGCAAAGTTAAGATGGGCTTTAATATCCTACAGGAATTATGGCTAATACCTATGGCAAGAGAATGTTGCAGTTGGATTGTCAATTCTCTTTTATAGGATGATCAATGATATGAAATATATTCCCTATCAGCAAGTTAACAGCTGCTTTCATCCAACCAGAAAAATTGTCATTAGTAAATGACAGTATGTGTACCTAGGGGCTAAAGTAGTAAAAAAATCTCTCTACCAGACAGATCAATGATCATTATGGGTATTACGAAATGGCTTGGTAGGGAGATATTTGCACCATCCAAAAATGGATTTTAAAACCAACAGGATTTAGGAAGATACACAGTTGACTGTTGAGCGCAGAATTTATCACTAAGTGATGGTGCGCAGATCTTCTTTAGTTCCTTGTTGGAACAAAGAGAAAAGACCAATAATGACCAAATATGGATGTTGGACATCGATTACTTAAATATCCAATGGCCTCAATAGTGAAGAACTAGTCATGCAATTTTTCACATCAATAAGTATCATTTCAAAATCAATCAAACATTCTGCTAATGCTCGTCTGGGAGCAGGAGTTACAACCAAATGGCATGGTTGAAGAATAAGCACACTATATAATTTAATCATGTCACGTTGATTTTACTCGGTCACTGACATAGTGGTAAAGATTAAGCCCTACTAAGCCATCAAGGAATAAAAGAGAAGAAACCAACATTGACCAAATGGATGAGGGACATCAATTATTTTGATACTTTACACGACTTAGAGATTCAATGGCCAAAATAATGAAAACCTTTGTCACTCAATCATTCACATCGCTAATTATCATTCCATCATACATTCTGCTAATACTCTTAGGAAGAAAGATCACATGGCATCGCTAAAGAATGAGAGTACTATTCAATTATATCACGAGGCTTTGATTTTACCCAGTCGGTGACATCAAAAGAGAAAGATGCAACTAAATGAAGCTCTATCCAGCAGTTTGTCATGTTGAGAAGAGACTCATCCAACTTCAGGCGTATAGACTAATATAGTGGATGGCTTCTTTATGTGCTTCTAGTTGGGACCCTCTTCTACTAAACAATGAAGAAGTACAGACATCAGAAATATAAAAAAAAAGAAAAGAAAAAAGGATAAACAACGACTACTCATAGGCTAATATCTATTCTTCAGGATATAGAATAGCAAACTGAAATGCCATATGTTTCAGGATTTTACTTTTCCATTTTGGTTACAAATTATAATCAAAATAAAAATGGCTTCCTTCCCCTATTGTTGTAGAACACTATCACTAGAAGTAAACCTGCTTTACCCTTCCTTAAAGAAATCTACAATGAGGTATTTTACTAATGTGGATGTATTACTTGGTAATCAATCTGAACTAGTTTAATTTTCAGAAGTGGTTAAAATCTGTATTTGGATTGTCCTGTAAGGTACACTAGAGTACAGTCATTAATAATCTGTCAACTTAGGAGAATAATAGAAACTACCAAGCTCGGTCGTGACTATGTACTATACTGATGGCACTCTGCCATGAAAGCCCATAATAGCTTCAGATATTTACACAAGAACAGCTTATACGTGAGCAGTGAGCATAAAGAACAAGTCACGATGAACCTGGAAGGATGGATACTTATGATGGCCAATACGAGCTAATTTTCACCTGAGTCATAAATAACAACAGAATTTGCAATTACTTAGGGAAGAATATTGAGGCACTTACTTCCATACTACCAGCAGAACATTTCAAAGGTCAATAGAGAGTTACGAACAAGTGTACGACTACTTAAAACATCGATGCATACAACAACAGATGTCATTTTACAAAGCCTAAAGGTTATGCACATTAGAAAGGATGCAAAATGGTACCTGTGTGCTTCACACCTTAGAACTCTTCCCTGAAGGATACTCATAATGTTACTAATACCATCTCCACTGTTTTTCTCAATGTAGAACTGGAAACAGTGATCTTCACAAAGGAAAGAGGTGATATCAGATTGAGGTTGGAACTCTCTCAAGAGACTGTTTTCACCATTAATTATCAACGGAAAAGCAGTGATATCCAGTTATCAGATCAATATAAGATATGTCAAGAAACAATTTTATATTGATCACTAGATGCATGTCCGGGAAAAAGTTGTAGCACAACATTAGGTAAGGCCAAAATTGAAGTTCAAGGAATTCTTTTGTGCATTCTCTCAGACATTTCAAGAATTTGTTACCAAGACTAACATGTAATATGACAAAACCATAGCATTCCACAAAACTGCATCTCACTCACTCAATTGTTTGAGACTAAATAACAACCTGAATGCTCCCATACTACTTGTACATATCTATTAAAGCATTCCAGCAGCATGATCTTGGTCATACATGGCTCTTCGGTCAAAA